GACTTAATTGGTATTTCAACCTGGTTTTATCAAATATAATTTAATACGCGTATCGTACAGGTATTTAACAAAGCAAGCCATTAAACAGATGATTAGCAATCAATGTGAAACAGCGTTTATTCTGTAAACGTTTCCTCGATTTGGGTCCAAAATTCAGTCCAATATTTTGATAAATAATATATATTTTTTATTTTGATTGATTTTTAATACTAGAAGACCTATTTATATATAACAATGCGAAAGACCTCAATTTACATTGTTTTGCTGAAAAGAATTATTCATATTGTCTTATATATTGATTTCAAAGATCAGAGGTTCATAAAGGTTACAGTCTGATGTATTGATAGCATAATACTGTATTCGAATCATGACCCTTTGCAATTTTAAACGAAAATGACCATAATTCCAAATGTTCATTAGATTTCGTGATTAACAGACATCGATTATTTTCATATTTCATTATGATTCTAAATAATTGAATACAGTTTCCACCCGTCGCCCCATTAACAGCAGCATCTACATCAGAATACATGACCAAACAGGACCAAGTATTTCCTGTAGATCTATGGTAAATGCTCTGGGTAAGCCATCCTAAAGTCGTTCTATACGGCGTATTGTTTTGCGCTCATCGATTTTCACATTTCAAACTATCAACCAGAATCTCCATGAGATTAGAAAAATAGTAAAATTATTGCTTTACTCATTAGTGAATTACTGTCAAACAGACAGACATTCTTTATTTCCTCCTTACGGAGATTTCGTATGTCTTAACATTTTTCTTACATCATTTATCATAGTCTATATGTAAACATGATAATATAACACATTGGTATTTTTAAGTGTATAACTCATTATACAAAATGTTCATTTGATTATCGGTTCATATAATGGTTTTTACATAAGTGTGTATAAATTTAAACACACACTTTTATAGGTTTATTGCAATCTCATACACCATTTCTTTGATATTTCTAGCCACGTTTATCATCAAAGTTTCCAACTCTAAATCAGACAAATATACATGTGAACGATCAACAAGTAAAAACTACATTGGTCTCCAATACTACGAAGACTATATATTTACCGTGACACATGGTATAGCTGTCGGGATGAAATATTGCATATAATTGATAAACATATATAAAACTCTGTGTAAGGAAACGATTTTGGATTGATAATCAATGCATTCATAACTTTTATACAAAAAATGAAGAAAGAGTAAAGAAAAAAGAAAGTATTAATGTATAATATAACACACACACACATATATATATATATGTATATTAAAATATATTTTTTCTTTTAATGAGTGTTCGTGTATGAGAGGCAGTGTGTAGGAGCTTTTTTATAGTTAACTGATCGGTCAACGCCGACCTGACTGGTCAAAATTTAGCCAAAATTTAGATATCGTCCGATTTCCATGAAATTGTGTAGCTATATCTAGTTTTGCACCACTTGGTATCCGATTGGACAAGATGGCCGCCACATAGCAACTTCTAATTGGCCGAATTTTTTTCTATGAAAATTAGTATATAGGTGTACAATGTAATTTTACACCAGGGACACAATGGCGACATTCGTTTTTGATTGGAACAAATGGCCGCCACATAATGGCTTCTGATTGGTTGAAATATCATCTGACCCATCAACTGCAGCCTCTGCTTGGTCAAAATTAGATATCATCCGATTTCCATGAAATCGATTTGTAAATATAATTTAAATCAGAAACGCAGTGGTGACATTCGTTTCCCGATTGAACAAGATGGCTGCCTAATAGCGGCTTCAGGGTAGTTGAAATTTAGATGTCCGATTTTCAAGGATAGTTTAATATGTATTGTTTGACACCAGTAACAATGTGATGTCGTCCATTTTCTTATTTAACAAAATAATCCCTACGGGACCTTCTGATTGGTAAAAAAATCCGTATTATTTATCAAGATATGTACATAGTGTTTCCTGGCACGAAAACGCTGATGTTCATTTTCTTACTGGACAAAATATTGCCATACAAAGACGACTGATTTGTGAAATTCAAATATTGTTCAACTTTTATCACATTACTTATCAATCTAGATTCAAACCATGTATATCAATTACGACTGCAGAGATGTTTGGGGGACATATGGGTTCCGTTTACAATTAGGACGTTTGCTCTTTTTTGAAGTATACCTATTATACCTAGTGCTATTCATTTGTATCATCGTAAGTTTTTTTTAATCATTAGCACTCTGAGAGAAATATCTTAATCCTTCCGTTAGTTTGGTAGGTTTTGCAACAGTTAATAAGAACACAACTGTTTAGCTTACCTTCAACAGTCACGGTTGGTTGAAAATGACATCCTCATCATTTAAGGCAAGATTTCATTACGCACTGACTAGTCCAATATCATACCTAATCCGACTCAACACTTTCAGTCTGTCAGACAACGTTCTTTTTTATACGACACTAACAACATGAACTTTGGTGCCACATAGGTTGCTCACATATAACAATGTCACTGACTTATTGCCCTTGATGAACTTCAATTATTCATCGCGCGCCCAAGTCTACTATGGTGATGGGTTGCCAAGGCTTTCGATTTTAGCGTGCTTTCTTTTAGTGTAGATGTCCCACAACCAGAACAAACCAACTGTATGATGAGTATAGTTCTGTATGGCTTCATAAGTAAATACCATATTTGGTATTGTGTCGTCACTTTCATTTTTTACTGCTCGCATTGTTGACGAGTGTTGCATTCAAGTAGCAATCAAGAATATTACAAGGATTTCTACATCTGCAATTTACCTCTGAATGATTATAAAAGTGAAATTGATTTCCTATCTCGGATGAATCGTTATCCAGTTTAGGGATTTGCCCCATCATTGTTGGGATTTTCTCTCCCAAAATCTTCTGGTTTGTTGCGCATTTTTATGATCTTTCGGGGAAATGCGATTATTCGCTAATCATTTATAACGTCATAATTGTTTTAGTTATATCAGAATACAGAACAAGAATAAGTAAGAAATTTTAACTCGTTAGCCCTTAAAGCAGCTACTTCCCATTGGTTGTATTAAATCACGGAAAATAATTCTATTGAGTCATTCTAAAGTTATGGTACGGAAACCAAACTTTTCACCTTTCTTAGTCAAGAAAGCGCCATAGCTCAGGTAGAAATTGCCGGAAAAAATAGCAAAAATAGAAATTGGCCTAGATTTTCAATATTTTAACAAACATAAAAAATATAATTTAATTCTACTGAGGCATTCTAAAGATGTGGTGCCGAAACCAAATCCGGACGGACAAACAAAAGGGACGGACGTTAACACTATATGCCCCCTCCTCCATTTTCAATGAAGGCGGTATAAACATTTATGAGAAAAAAAAAATTTCAAAGTTAGATATTCTTTTTTATTTATTAGTTTATTTTATTTTGATGAGTAGTATTTTATGGTTTATCATTTATAAATGAACGGCATTTATTATAAATAGGAAAATTCGCATTTTAATGCCGATTCTCTTTTAGGAAATGTCTGTAATTCGCAAAATCCTATTAATTCAGACCAGACAATAATTATTTGATGTTCAACCTTCTTGTTCAGCCAATAAAACATATAGCCGCCATAATGAAAAAGGCTGAAAGCTTTTTTGATAATGGTAAACACTCCTATTGATAATTGGAGCAGCGTGATCCATGAAATATTCAAATGTTTTTTCCAGCTTATCGCTTTAATAACGTACTAACATCAAAAAAGATAACGTCACCAGGACCTAGTCACGGAATACCCAATAACCCAACGTTGCACTCAGTCACACTTATTCATGAAACACAATAATTTTGAACAGATCAGAAAAAAAAATTTCTCATCCGTTATGATATAGTATCATTAAACAGCTGAATCCTCCAAAAGTAGACGAGATCCTCAACGAAACAGTGGCATTGGTATGAACCCTTTTACATCACATATAGTAAATATATTGATATTTTCTTGAAGTGTTTTCTAGTAAATAACCCTTTGAAGTTTCTCATATACGGATATAGTTAATAGTAATTTGGTGTATATTTCTGCTATTGATTCGTATCTTTGGACTTTGAAGAAAATAGCAGTATTCGATACCATTTTCTTCGAACATAGAATATACATTTCCCACAATACCACAATATTTCTTTCATCTAATTTGTATATCAGGTCATAGGATATCCTAGATAGTTTTCCCCGAATAATAAGCGAGTGTCAAAAAGCAGTGGACATTTACAAATTTCTAATTATACTTTTTCAAAACCCTATATCTTACATGCATATCGCAATATTGATAGTGCTAAACGTCTTTTGAAAGACTTATAATTCTTATTCTAGATACGATTTAATGAATATAAAGCATTTTAAGCCTGTTCACAAAGTGTCTTCTTTAAAAGTATCTTCTTTGTGTTTATAAAATTTTAATTAGTATTAAAAAGAACTTCAAGATGAAAACGAGTCTTGAATTTCTTGTTGATTAAATGAGCATTTCCTCTGTGTGTTATTTCACTGAAGATACTAGAACTTTTGTTTTATTAGTAATAGCATTTTTCATCCTGTTATTATAGTAGGATTCTAATCTACAGCAGTTTCCGATGGAATAGCAGTGTCATAATTTTAAAAAACACACACACATGAAAGCTATCTTAACTCAACTTATCCAAATATGTTTGCCATTTCTTTCCTTGTTTTCTTTTTTTTCATACATAAATGTTTCATAATCAATTAAGTACAGTAAAAACAAATAATAAATAATGTATAATTTCTAATGTATTTAGCTTAATATGAGCATATCAAATATCTCTTGCTCATTATTCGGAATTTTATGGGGTTAGAGGCTATGAATTACATGTTCCTCGTTATATTACAGCTTGATATTTCTTACCTATGTCCATTTCCCATTTCTGGATATCAACATTCCTGTATCCCAAACCTATGGTGTTTACATGTCATAGTTGTTTAGATACCAAAGACCGGCTCTCGATATTACAATTTGCGTGCAAGATGTCGTCAACTGATAGACAGACTCATAACACAGGACGTCTCGAGATGCAGGTGAATGAAAATTTTACGGTCGTCAAAGATATTTCATGGAGACATATTTTTTATTTCTTCGTGTTAAATGAAGCTAGATGTGTTGTATGCTCGTTATCTTTGCCTGTAGGTTGCGTTGTTGCAAACCTTGTTCTCATTTGAAAACTTGTTTCAGTAGAAAAGTGATCCTTTCTAAAACCGACCTTGACATTTGTAACTGACTTTAATCCCCCTGCTAGAGTATCCAATTGGTTGTTTGATTTGATACGACCACGTCATCATATCCAGCTACCGTACTAAATGTGTACTTTATTGAACTATTTCATGGCTGAAACATCACAGTCAGTACAAAAGGTACATTGTTCATTATGTTTTGAGGACATACATAATTTATCACATAAACTAGAATATTGACGACTGGCCGATATGGTTTGTTAACTTATGTCTTAATTGTTACTTTCTCAACCTCACACCAAATATCTATTGTAACAAGACATCAGATCGCAGAATGCCTGTCCTTTGTATTGACAATTTAACACACCGCTATTATCCGCGTTTTGATTATCTTTAATGCATGATATATGATATAATATTTGACATATACATATATGCGTTTCAAGAAATTTTATGAGCTTAATAAAAAATTCTGGTGTCTGAATCGATGTAGAAACTTTTTTCCTAAACAAATAGATCCTTCATATTACAGAGATGGTTGTTGCCAATCTAATCTGTCGATGAGGTTTTGTTTTGAAGATAATGATCTCATTTACTCTGATACTTATTGCGTATATTAACATTGAGTACGACCAGTTTTTATTTTCCTCTGTATGATGTGTTCTGTAAGGACGAATCAGTGGTTTATTCCTGTAAAACCAATTGTATGTGGCTGGCTGTTCTGTATCTCATTCTAGATATATGTCATGAAATCTGATAGAGTCTGCGTGCGTCTTTGCATCGATAATCAAAGGCTCTCCAAGCCTACACAAGATATCTGAATGCGACGTTTTTTTCACTATAAACAGTTATCTGATTTATCCTCAGTGATATTTGGACAACTATTATACTCCAAGAAAGAGGTTTTCAGGTCGTCCTCGACATTGTAAAAGTGTGGTCGTTACAATGCATATGCTAAGTTTAGCAAAGAGAGTGATTAAGCCAGCGTAGTATTGTCAACATTTTAGAAATTTGAACAGGTAACGTGGGTTGACCAAATCGTTGCTATTGAATCCTATTCAATTTCAACAAATTAATTATATAACAGTGCTAAATGATAGGACACCAGACAAAACCTACACAAGCCTTCTTTTTATAACTTTGGTATGATTCAGTCATTTCAAAGGTTAAATAACCATATAGACAACGTATATATATAGTTATCTCTATGTCCCCGCCAGATATGTTTGATCAGTCTCGTAGTATCTATTTGTATTGTGACATGAAATGCATTTTATTTATTCATCTCATTTATATAAAAGAGGCCACGGGTAATATTTTGGTTAAACAGTTGAAGCCTTAAGCCTGAATGATTGCGTGATGGACAGGTAAGAATTATATTGTGCATTTTCTTCACCATAGTTGCAAGTTAATGTTGGAGAATCTTTTAAATTTAAAGTTTAATTGCTGGCTTTATTATGTACTCTAAATATATTAAGAAAACAGCTACCGTGCTGTCCTACATATTGGAATATTGAAATATCAAGTCGTCCTTTATGGATGTAAATGTAATTTACATTATGATACGAATACCATATCACAATATTTTTCAGCTGATGTAGAATCGTGTCGTAACATATCTTACGTCTATCAGAAAGATATTCCCAATCACGTTTTTTGTATAGTCTATGATGAGAGGTTATGACTCAACACTCTACGCAATTGCCCAACAACGCGTCTACATATAGGAATATCGTTTCATATAAGCCGTCTTTTTCACTATGATATCTGATATTTACTAGTATTTTAAACAATATTGTTATTAAAAGTAATAGATGAAATATGAACAACGAATAGTTGACAATTCATCACTAAATTATATTAAAAAACTAACAAATAATTCTATTGAATGATTTAAAACATACATACAACACAAAGAAAGATTTTAAACTGAAATTATTTTTTTTCTGGAACAGAGACTCAAGTTGTTGAAACAAAGAGAAAATCATCTAAAATATTGTAGGTTACGAACACTTATAACGGTAATAATATTGAATGTCAAGACGTGTACGTCTTGTATAAATAGCCAGCAAAAAGAGGTAAATTACAATTATAATTCAAAATTTAGACGTTTTTTTTTAGTTTTGGTTTATCATTAACATGGCACGATCAAAACCACTTTAGATTTATATAAAAACAATAATGATGAATTATTGGTGAGAAATAATACAGTCTAAGGAATGACGATGCACTGTTGTAATGTATAATAAATTATCATATAATGAAAAAATGAGTAGTTCTATGTTTAAATGTATTATAAAATAATTTAAATGCATGTGGGCTAATGTATATTGAATTCTCAGTTTCGTAAAAATTTCAATCCACAGTGGATAAAACAGATATTACACAATCAATTTTTAGAAAAATGGGATCGTGATTTAAAAAAAAACAAATCTTTGATATTATTTTAAAATTATTGTAATTTTGAAAAAAAAACTTTCATGTTATTAAATGATAACACAAGAAACTTACCTTGTATTTAGAACAAGTAACCAAAAAGTCATAGTGGAAACTGGCAGGTGATGTAGGATACCAAAATAAGACTGTACTCATCGTCACCAGCCGAACATATGATAAATATCAAAACATCAGTATAGTATAGTATATATACAGTTACACTTCAAAGAACTTATAAATTTCAGTCATATTATATCCGTTAAATAAGCAATGAATTTATGTTAAATGAAATAAATGACAATATGTGTTATTGTAGAAAAATGATATTTAAAAAGTTGTTATAAGTTTCTCCACATTTCATATAGCTTAAGAGAATATTTTTCTTTTTACACATATCTGAGATAATTACATAAAGAAATTAAGTTATCATTATTACATAAATTAATACTGGAAATTATCAAAAATCGATAATTTGAAATATGATTAATCAATCAATCACATCAAGTCAACATTTATATATATATATGTATTACAAAAAGTGTCAGTAACTTTCAAAATAGAAAATAAAAGTAATACCAGCTGCTGAATACAAACATGTAAGTTTTACAGGAAAACTGCTTCTACTTTAAGGGAAAAGACCATAATCACTGTCAAAACAAATTTCCTTGCATGAAAATGTTGCCGTTCAGAGATACATCCACCTTGAATACATTGGAATCTAGTGCTGACCAATCATCAGGTGGACCATCCTTCCTCAAACGTTTCGGCGCTTTCCACTGCGTCCTCAAATGGAGCGCCCTATTTATTTGCTATAAATTTTTTCTTTAATCCAGTTTTTATAGTGATTTTAACATAGTAACCATTCAAAAGTTTTTTTGCTCATTTCCCTCCTAGGCTTCAAAAATTAGGGCCTTAGCATCACCGACGAGTCCAAGGAGGACGAAGTAGCTGTATGATGTAGTTAAATATCTTTAAATTTTAAAGAATCAGTATCCAGGTCCTTTTATAATCTGTATATGAAACACTTTATTTTTCATCTTCTTACGGCAATTTATACTCGTCATCTTTTACATTTGTAGTAAATTCGTAACACTAATTTATCGATAAGTTTATCTACCGATCGACATATTATAAAATGTTCACAAAAACGCCAAAGCAACAGTCAAGTGTAAAGCATAAAAGACTTCACGACACGCGGTCAGTTTCAGTACACTCGTAACCCGTAACTTGGTAAAGTGTCTTCCTCCTGCAATCGATGGATCTATATGAAATCTCTTTGCAGTATTAGGTTTCAAATGATACCGTTAATGAAGAAAATGTGACATTTTAAAAACACTTTCGTAACATCGATACCATGAATTTTAAATAATGGTATGAAACTTCAAACAAGTGAATTGAAACAAAGTCATGACAACCTACACGTACATTGATTTGTTGATGCTTGCATGTTCCCCAGTATGAATTCAGATTTGAATTTACCTTAGTATAAATCTGATATTTGAAAGACATATAAATACCACTCTGGACGGTTAAAACTTCGCTGGAATTTTCTTGGTCTCTTATTGGAAAGTGGTAAGATGTTTGATGCAGGCCAGTTGTTTACTCTGTGTATTCTTTGATGGCTGATGATTCTTGTGCCAGGTATTCTCTCTAACACTATTGTACAGGGATTTCTCTCTCAATAGTTTCAAAGGTCTGCAAACATTTCGTCGAATCATCTCACTGAAATGGAATGCAGTTGGTCGAATCCATCTTTACTCCTCCTGCGTGGAGCTGATACTCTGATGTTTAGAACCTGTTGGACCTTTCACACTGGAAGGTTGTCAGAACTGCATAGGTTGTCATAAACTCAAAACCTCCCAAAACAAACAAATCTGGATCTTTTGTCCCATAAGCTAACCTGGCGTTCTTACTTGTTGCGATACTGCTAGATTTCAGCTTTCTGGCTCTGTCCTTTGTATCTGGCTTTTGTTGATTTCTTACACTATGGACTAGATGTTTGACCTTTAGCGATGTAGATTATTAAGCATCTACTCTGGTGCGCTGGTTTCAATCTCGTACACTTCTGGAACACCAATGGCAACCAAGCCGATCCAAAGTAAGGTAAATACACAAGCAGCTGAAATACCACGATCCACGGTTACATATGTTGACCATCTTTCGAACATCATCTTTTTTTTCAGATTTTTTGTCGCGCCAGATGCACATCTGGACATTGTGGAATATGCAGATTTATCCACTTCTACACCTCCTGTGGATTAAGACTTACAAAAATCTCTGTTTTTTGATGATCGCCAAAATGAGGTGAACTGAATTAAAGATATCCCTTACTACTTTTACCAATCGGATAAGAACAAGCTTTGTTAGTTAATATTGGTCTTGTAATGTGACTTATCAACCGGTAGCTTCTC